CCTGCACTCATGGCAGTAATACACCTCTTTCTTATCGCTATCTCGAATGTATTGGAGTCCGTACTTCCAGATGTGTGATGTACCTTGACGGAAATCCTTCCTTGCAATTATTGCACGTTTCACGTACGTGATACCGCCCTGCACGAACTCATCTGGAGATTCGTGATATTGAATAGGAGTGGGTGATAGTATAGGGGTGGGTGATGACGTGGGGATAGGAGATGGAGTAAGAGACGTTAAATCTAGTCTTATAATATTCGATGGGGACGGTGAGGTTGGTGTTGAAGGCTCCATAACAATAGTATATAAGTAGGTTGTTAAGGACTTGATTGTTCTATGTAAGTAGAAGACTTACCTTGATCTTAATGACTCATATTGTGCTAAATTTTCTGGCTAGATTAGTCTAAGATCTAGTCACGTGGACCTATTTATAGCCGGACCGGTCCGATCATCTAGACCGGTCCGACCACGGTCTCAAAAAATCGCCAGACCAGACCAAGTCTTGGCGGTCTAGACCAGACCAAGACCAAGTCAGACCAGACCATTCCGATCACTGCAAGAAACAACGACTACGCTGATACTAGGTCCACTAGCCACGCAGCATACCTCCAAATTCTCCCACAATCCGAACCAAAACTCCGCCCTAGAGTGCTATTCTATATCTCTAGAACGCTATTAGCAGAAACCCACCTACTAGAAGGTTTTACGTCAGATCCAGACGCTATAGCACTAGTAGTACAGAAAGGAAACCATAAGTTTAATATCTTCAACCTATACAACGAGAGAGGTATAGGAGATATAAAGACTATCCCAAGAGTTCTTCTAAACACAAACACAAGACTACCAGAGTCATCTATTCTACTCCTAGACGCAAATGAGCACCACCCGTGGTGGGACCCACTATGCACATCGACGAGCCCAGGAGCACCCCCATTTGTAGAATGGATAGAAAGCCAAAACCTTAGCCTTCTAAACACACCAGGAACGGGCACTTTCTTTAGGCCACACCTATCAAGAGAATCAGTTTTAGACCTATCCCTAGTTACCCCAGACCACAGTCCGCAACAATCAATTAAGTGGGTCCTAGAAGGTTCAGATTGGATTGATTGATTACCGCTTTAAGCCTAGTAGTTACCTATAGGAGTTTAAGCCCTACCTAGATAGGTAAGTGGGTCTAGGAGAGTGACCGGATTGAATTGATTGTTGCGGAGTCTACCCCAGACCTAGCTGACAAAGCTATTGACTGGCAAGTCACTACGGAGACTGGATCTGACCACTACGGCCTACTCTTCTCAATTCGATCAGACACCGACCAAGTAGACAATCCAATAAACCAACGCAAGTTTAACACAAAAAAGGCGGATTGGCCACTTTTTCAAAAAACCCTAAACGAGGCTATTCAAAACAACATCACGCTACAGCACATAAGCGAGATAAACGACCCTAGGAAACAAGATTGCAAGAATCTAATTCTAGAAGAGGACCAGGAGCTTCAAAGCAAACTAGAGGAGATAGGGGAAGCAATTACGCAAGTTATCCAACTAGCAGCTGACAAAGCAATCCCAAAAGTCAAACTAGGTCCTAAACCAAAACCCTGGTGGAACCAGGAGCTTACTAAGCTAAGAAGAGAGCTTACTCACTGCCAAAGAGTCTACACACAACAATTGCAACAGTTGTCCATCCAAGAGGCATATCTATTCAAGAAAGACTTCTTAATAGCGCGGAACACCTACGCAAGAGCAATCAAGGATGCCAAGAAGAGACATTGGAATAGCTTTCTAGAACAAGAAACCCCACAGTCTATCTACAAAGCTATGGCATACACAAAGGATCAAAAGGTCGAAAAGATTCCACCTATCCATGGAGAGATACTAGAGAAAACATTCAAAGGAAAGTGCAAGGCCTTTAGAAAAGCACTGTTCCCTCCTCCTCCAACAGCAGAACTACCAAGCTTTCTAAACTATCAAGAGAGCATTTGGGACTGGCCGCAACTATCAATTTCTGAACTAGAACAAGCCTGTTCTAGGAAAGTTAAAAGTAGTACACCAGGGCCTGACGCCATTACTCAAGATATTATAACCGCTACGTTTAAGTTCAACCCAGAGATCCTCTTCATCGCCTACTCAATCTTGTTCAATTACGGATACCACCCTCGGTGCTGGAAAGCAGCTACAGGAGCAATTCTCAAAAAACCATCTAAACTAGACTACTCTCTCCCGAAAGCTTATAGAGTAATTACTCTCTTAAACAGCCTAGGGAAGGTACTAGAGAGAATTATCGCCAAAAGACTAGCTAGTCTAGCAGAAACCACAAACCTCCTACACCCCTCACAAATTGGAGGTAGAAACAAGAAATCTGCAATAGACGCCGCTCTCCTCCTAGTAGACCAGATTCAACACAAAAAACAGCAAGGCCAAATTACTTCCACAGTGTTCGTGGACGTCAAAGGAGCTTTTGACCACGTCATACACAACCGATTTCTAGACCGACTTAAGAAACTTGGACTCCCAATTAGCTTAATTTGCTGGGCGAAATCCTTTCTCTCCAACAGGACCCTAAGACTAGCATTCGATAATAAGATTGAAGAATTTAGCAAGATTAGAGCAGGCATCCCACAAGGCAGCCCAGTATCACCAATCTTCTTCCTTATCTATATCCGAGACCTATTCCCAGCCTTACAAAGCTTTCAACTATCGTATATCGACGACCTATCTCTTACTACCTCATCAACCTCTCTAAAGAAAAACATAAGAGCACTGCAAAAAGAGATAGCTACACTCTTTGCCAAGGGAGAGCAGCTAGACATTATCTTCGACACATCCAAAACAGAGCTAATCCACTTCACCGCTAAGAAGGAGAGGATAGAAAGAGCCCTCATACTCCCAAACAACGACCGGATAGAACACAAAGACACTGTCAAGTGGCTAGGTATCTATCTAGACAACCGACTATCATTCAAATCACATGTGTCTATACGTGTAAGCCAAGCCAGACAAGCTTTCTACAGGCTAGGAAGACTAGCGAACATTGAACTCGGCCTATCAACACACGCTATTAGACAACTATACTTAGCATGTGTAACCAGCGTGTCAGACTACGGAGCACAAATATACTGGCAAAACCAACCCTACGCTACAAAGAAACTACAGTCACTACACAACCTGGCTTGTCGAAAAACACTAGGAGTGTTTAGAACAGCACCAACAGTCCCTACAAGCCTCGAAGCGAGCCTACTACCACCAACAATTAGGCTTAACTCAACTATCCGGAACTACGCAAGCAGAGCAAACCTGCTAGCCAACACCCATCCAATTGCAAAGGCAATAACTCGGATCCAATCAACTAATCTCCAACGCTCAAAGAAACCAAACCAGCACAGACAGCTACAAACTATTACTAACGCAATTCCTAAAAACAACAAAAGGGACACAGAGCAGACTATCCCATACCGGTTTAGGCCATGGGATACTCTAAACTATACCGTAACAGTCTCTCAAAAATCCAAAGAAGAGGAGGCAAATGCGCACCAAGCCTACATTAAAACAAGGCTAGACAATTACACGACAATATACTCAGACGCCTCGCAAACACAAGAAGGAAAAGGAATAGGAGTTGGGATAGCAGTCTACAACTCAACTCAGCAAGAGATCTACTCAGAAACAGTTAATATCGGACAATACCAGCTAGTCTACAACGGCGAACTAGAAGGGATCACACGAGCATTCGAATACGCAGCAAAGAACGCTACAACCGACCAGGAATTTGAGGTCTACGCAGATAACCAAGCAGCAATCTACAGGCTTAAAAACCTATCAGATAACCCAGGACAGCATTGGCAACTCCGATGTCTAAAAGCGGCAAATACGATCCGACGAAAACAAGCAAACATCCACCTACTCTGGGCACCTGGACACACAGATATAGTTGGAAACGAAAGAGCAGACTACCTAGCAAAAGAAGCAACCAAAGAGGACCCCAGATCAACAACAAAGAGCATTGCCTACCTGGGCACGACAATCAAAAGGATACAACAAACGGAACAACGCCAAGAGTATAAGAAATACAAAGCAAGAGCAACCGCTCTAAACAAAGCTACCTACTCAGCCAAATACCCTCTTAAAATCAGCAAAACCATCCAAATGCCACAGAACACGAAAAGAGTAACCTCTAGCGCCTTCTACTCTCTTAAGCTAGGACACGGATACTTCAACTCCTACCTAAAGAGATTTAAGAAACGAGACTCTAATCGCTGCACCTGCCAAAACATCCAAACGCCAGAACACCTACTACTGTACTGTCATCTATACAAAGACCATCGAAAAACGCTCCTACAAACAATCAAACATCGCCCAGTCACACTACCACTACTACTCCACACTAGTATAGGTATAGAAGCAACCCTAGCTTTTATCACTAGCACCAGAATAGGAACAAGAAAATGGTACCTAGGACAGCCAACAGAAGACCTACAGAGAGACACTGTATAAAACTAAAACCACAACCCTCTCCTTTGCCACAAGAGCCCGCTGCTACATCTCTTTCTACTTATCAAACTGCTCTTTAGCACCTGGCAACAAACAGATACAAGCTATCTTTTGTAGAAAAGCCAAAGACCATATTAGCGAACCATACCAGAAAACCATGTAAATTAGAAAAACCAAGATAGAACGGCCTTCGGCCAAAGTCCTACATAGTCTCTGACTGAAAAAGGACTCTAATGGAATAATAATAATAATAATAATACATTAACGAACCATTGCATGCCCCTGCTTGCCGGCCTCACTGCAAAACCGTACCTTTCGAAGCTGTGTTTGAACATGAGTGAGGACGGTCGGTTACAAGATCTTGGTGGACAACCAAGAGGACGTAAGCAGGCCTTGTTTTGTCTTTGCTTCTAGGCGCTGAGGCAGATATCTTGGGAACCCAATCATTTGCAGGGAAGTGAGTGGACCTGCGATCGCCGGTTTGAAGCTTTGCTGTAATCGTTGCAATCGTTTGGGGACACGTTCAAGGGGTTCTCCGCGATCTGCTGCTCCGCTTTTCCGGTCACCGGCTGATCGTGTTGCTGGACGATACTATTGTTCATACGTGCTCATGCTTGTTCGAATAGACCTGGCATACTGGCGTCTTTGAGTTCATGCACTGTACTTGCGGCTCGTTACAACTCAATGGGTTCTGCTTGATGGTTAATGGATGACGTCCGAGGTTGTGGAGGCGTTGACAAGCGCCGGACGAAGCGAAGAAAAGGCTCCGAGCCCAAACCGGGCCGACTAGCTCCGCGCGCTAGCCACCTCGGAGCCGGCATCCCCTCACTTCCTTCTCTCATGGAACAAGACCAGTGTATCACATTCATATTCGAGGAACATTCTGCGATACTTCAACCAACTACAATCTAATTTGCCCTCAACACTCGTACTGCAAAACTTCCCAGGAGAGTGGTGTCGCGAGGTATAAGCAAGCCCCACCCAACACGAGCTCGCCATCTACATCTATCCCCATTACGGCAACAAGTGTAACGGCTTTGATGCATCAGACGTGTCCGCCTCAACTACACCATGTTGTCTTGCAGTGTGCCTCGGACAGATTGCGCTGTCTATGTCGTTCCCGGGTTGATGGAATATATCGTTCGTGCCACGGCTCCAAGCTGGCTGTCTGTTCGACTGCCATGAAACGGGATCCTTGGGCCGAAATCGCATTTCGGCGCAACTTTTGATAAAGCCGTCATAACCGCTTGAAACGAATAGGGCCGCTTTCAAGTTTCATAGCGTCATTATCAAGAAAATATATTATCGTGGATACCCTCCCCACATGTTCTTCTTGTTAGATCAGACGAATTCCTTCCTTGTTACCTCTCCCATCATAAATCTCTTCCTTCGTTTCTTTAAGCTGCGCTTTTTGTCACACTAGTCACTCATTTCTTATACACGGAAACAACAGGAGATATGCTTGCGAAATACTTGGCTGTGTTGTCGGTTGCAGCGATTGCGCATGGTCGCGTTGTCGTTGTTAAGGACAGACAGGCTGTTGCGCCGGTGTTTGATGGCAGAGTGAAGGCGGCTGCGACCGCGGCAGACTTTGACACGGCAGCTTCGCCTTTCGGAAAGGATAACGTCAAAGGGCAGAGTAAGTGGCTAGTCTATACAATTCCATGAACATTACTGACCAGCACCAGACTTGACATTCAGCCAGCTCATCGCATTTCCGGATGTTCCGGCATCGCTCTTTGACGCTGGAGTTGGCGCAAAGGCAATTGAGGTGCAGATCAAGTAAGCTTTTCTCACAAGATCGCCAATTCCGACCCCTGTACTGACCGAACGTAGCGATCAATCCATCTTCGTCCCAGGTGGCGTGGCCGCCAATGCGCAAACCGCCGTCCGCCGCACCGAGTTGAACCCCAACGGCGGCGGCAACACAACCATCGGTATAAAGACACTACACGTATCACTCCAACCCAGCGCCACGAACCCCCTCAACACCAGCCACGAGTACCTGCTCACCTTCCTCGAGCGCGCAGACTTCAGCGCAAACTTGTTCGTGATCCGCACCGGCACACTCCTCGGCAGCGACGGTAGCACAAAGAACGATCTCGTCATCCAGGGTAATACCGGAGCGGGAACCAAGACGCTCTTCACCACCCCCTTTACTGCCGGCGTGTGGACAAACCTCGCGCTTCAACTGGATTTCACCGCCAACACCCTTCAAGTTTTCCAGTCGTCGGGCAATGACGCTCTTGTAAAGGCTACGGAACCCTTGGCTAATGACCTTTCCGGCAACGGCGAGTTCCACTTTGGCGTCAACAAGAACCCCACGGATGCTGGTGCCGATGTGCTGAGGTCTGGATTCCAGGAGAGCGGTATCTTGGAAGGTGTGGTCTATGGCGGTATTTTCATCGAGGATTCCGCTAGTGGTACCGTCACCCTTTCTTAGACGCGTAAGCGTCTTTGAATGAGGGAGTAAGATCTAGATCATGACTGGGTGGTCGGGATGCTGTAAGATGGACGAAAATGTATTTGTACTCTGTGCAATAAGCTAGTCGGAAGAAATGATGATCATGTACAACTTTGACACCCACGAGAGCAACCCGAATCAAATAACTTCCTAGACTCCAATGCGACACCACTTTATCAATCTGAGTATCTTGAAAATAGCCGTAGAATGCTAGTGTTGCAACATGTCTGGGTTGAACGATAATCTTTTGTCTTGGTACCCCCCGACCGACGATGGTTATCTTAGCACGCTTACTCCCGATCGACGATCTTCTATGTTGGAAAGATATGTACATAATCAGCCCAACTTACATTAGGAAAAAGATAATCAAAAGAACAGTCTCGTACTCCAGGCCCGGTATTGCGGTGGCCCGAGCGCTTTTGCTCGTGCGTGAACTATCACAATTATAGTTCTGTATGTATTCTAGCCCTTGTGTCCTTGTGCCCCGAGTGTTTTTGCTCGTGCGTGCTGTTGGAGTGGGTGAACCGTACGCATAGGGAAGAAGTTGAGGATTGACTGAGGTTGTATTGTACAAGCTATGGAAAGTTTATGTAGGTGAGTGACCATAAACAGCGCTAGTCTCAGATAGGCATCATCCCATCACCAAACCGTGACACGTGCTCACTGCCTTGAACGACTGCGTTCTTTCCGATTACATCGACGCAGCAAATTTGCGATCGAAGAGAACCCTCAGCCCGCCCGCGTTCTTTCCGCGTGCAATCACACGAATCCGTAGTCTAACTATACACGCTCCTAAGTCGCATGATTCACAACCTTTCCTAAAAACAATTTCTGTACGGATACACCTGGAGATGGAAGAATATGACCTTCTTGGGAGTGACGCGGTCAACTTTGCAGTTCGTGATTGTAGAATCTGTGCTTGAAGCTCGACGTCGTATTACAAAGATGTTGAGAGTTTGCTGCACTTGCCGTATAGGCTGACGTCGCAGTGCGCTGGGCCGATAATAATGGTCTAGCACGAGTGTCACATGTCCGAGGATAATGGGCAGTAGGGAGAAATCCGCTCATTGGACAGTAGGGTTGGCGCTAGGATCGAAAGTGTTGTCAAGAGAATTGCCGGATGGTGGGGGATGGAGGCTTTGTATTTCCTATCTTGGTCTAAACCGTGTTCTACAGGGTACAGTAGAACTTCACTGTATAGGGCACAGGTCTGGTACATGTCCTGTCCACAAAGAAATTGTCGGTGACTGCGCCCTATAGAGAATACCGACAGGTTTGAGCTATGGGGATAGCAGTTCGAGATATCGTCGATACCTGTCGAAGAGGAAGTGGATAGATTTGTCTCCGTAAGCGCTAACTCCCGTGTGCACGAGGCAGTCTGTACCCACGGACCGAGACGTTTGAATCAGGCAATCTATGCTAGCAGCGTTGCGTGATGAATAAGACCTATCCCAGGCTAGAGTTGCTTACAGCGTGTGAACGCACCGGAATGGTCACCGTCTTCGTTGACTTAAGGGTATATCTGGGGTTCAAGTGGCCTGCAACTCGAATTAATAGAACAAGACAGGGGTATTGCAAATTGCATCTTCCCCGCTCGTTTGCTCTACAACGGCAGAGCATTTTGGCATACTTGTCAACGAGCGAGCCGGCTCGCTCAGCTCGCTCGGCTTGGACGTTTTGACCAAGCCGAATGAGCTGAGCGCGCAGTGCGCGCTTGCAAGCCGAGCGAGCTTAGGGATAGGCGCTCGCTCAGTCAGCTTGCTTAGCTTGGTTGGATGGAGCGGTTGGAAACTTGGGGCTGAAGGACTTGGTGGAGGGGCAATCTCACGATGATTTTTAGGTGTAGTGCGTAAGTTCGAAACCTAGTTATAACCTAAAATACACTCTTTTTTGCTATATTTCTAGCAAATAAGCTACTAAACTTCCGGCTAACGGCCTGGCAACAATATTCTCCTTCTGCGACACTTCACTTACTACTTATCACCCACCACACTCACCTATACTCCACCAACGCGTCTCTATTTGCAGCTATTATCTACCTCGCCGTTGCTATAATGCCAGCAAAAAGAACATGCGTTAATGCTCTAGAAATCGCGACAACTTCGAAGCGCCCTAGAGTCGCAGCGCGTCATCGCGGGACTGCCACACCTGAGATCAATCAATCAAGCAAGCTGACAGCCCCCGGCTTGATTGATTGGCTGTTTGTATGAGATTTGGCTGGATTGATTGAATTGGCTTGGCGGAAAGTTGTTAGCTTGATTGGTAGCTTGGGTGCTTGATTCCCAAATAGGAAAGTTGTATATATTTTTTGGTGTTGAGTCTCAGCCGTCGTCCCATGTATCTAGATCGTCGTCTTCGCCCACCCACTTGCTAAGCTCGTACAAAACGTCCATCTGCTCGTCGGTAAGCTTTGATTGGCCCATATCGTCGTTGTCGCCGCCACCAAAACCTGCCCGTCTCCATCGTCGTACTGAGTGTAGTGCTGCTAGTAGCTCAGGTGATATACAGCGTCGGCGAGGCTCTAGTAGATCTCCGAGCTCACTGAAGACGCGCTCACACTCACAGCTTGAAGCGGGTATAGAGAGTATAGTAAGCGCCATCTTACTAAGGTTGGGATATTGATCGCGCAGCCCGAACCAGTATTGTATAGGATCGGTGCCCTTGCCAACGATTGGCTCGCGCTTCCACTGCTCATACTCATCCTCCTTAGTATTGCCGCGTGTGGGATCAATAATGCCGTCAATCGCGTCGTCAATATTGCTCGGTTTCTTCGGTGCGCGTGTGTAGCAAGGCCTCGGTAACGGCAGCGACTTGTAATCCGCCCACAGTGCCTGGAAATTAAGATTATTAAGCGCCAGCCAGTCAGGCTTCTCAGCCCACGCTTGATCGCAGTAGTGTTTGTAGCGAGGATGGAGTATTGTAGCAGCGTAGTAAGCTGGCGAGTCGTCGAGTTTAGCGTAGTACTCGTTCGCCTTAAGTAGCGCTGCGCGTAGATTAATAGGAAGGTGATCTTCGGGTGCCTCGTCGTGAGCGTCATGGACTACGCAATCGTAGTAGAGGAGGCGAGCTTCTAATTGAGTGAGTAGAAAATCAAACGTTGGGATCACCTCAGCGATCGCGCCAAAGCTATACTCGCCACGTCCCTCAAAGCGCTTTGTACACTCTTTAAGTGGCCTAAGAACCTCTATATAGTCGGTAACAACAGCCCAATCGGCAGCTGTGAGGCCGTCTGATCTCATCCACTGTGGAGCAGCAGGCCGATTTTTGCCCTGTGAGTCGGCGTAGATATCCTCTTTTGCTGTATTTTGTATGTGGGTGTTCGCGTACGCGTTGATGGCCGGCGCGAGCTTTATAGCTCGCTCAAAACAGTCGAAGTATGAGTTCCAGCGTGTGACTACTGGCTTGATTGGCTGTAGTATCGTGAGCTTGTCGTCTGCGTCGTGAGGTAGCTCACGGTAAGCTGTACGCTGCGCCTTCTCAAAAAGATTGTACTGCTGCGGTGTGTGGATATAGTTGACAATATCGAGAAGTACGCCTAAAGGCCCGTGCTTTCGCCACTCCTTTATAAACGCTGCCTCGTCGGCGAGCTCGTCAACTCCCTCGTTGTTGTATGAGTCTGCATCTCTGCCCCAGAGCAGTCTCTGCCCAATCAGATTGATCGTATGAGGGCCACAGCGGAGGCGTCGGTGTATAGGATTGAAGTTAAGCTCGTGGGCAATCGCAGCGACAGCGGTGTCGTTATTAGAGGCATTGTCGAGGACGAAGTAACCGAGTGTGCGCTCGCTTATGCTAAACTGCTCTAAGATTGATAATACAACCTCAGCTAATCGATCGCCGGAGTGAGCGCCTGTGAGCTGAGGCAGCGCGATAGGCAGGTCTCGGAGCTTGCCATCTGAGTTGACGTAGTGGGCGACGATACCGAGAAACCCGCGCTTGCCGCCTTTCGTTGTCCATCCGTCAAAGCTTATATGGATCTTGCTAAGCGATTGTGACAGCTCGTGGACAACGCGGGGCCTGAGCCAGTCAAACAGTCGTATGACGTATTGGGAGACGCTCTTGTGGTTCTTCCAGAGCGCTGCTTCTGCAAGTGGGTTGGCGATAGCAATTAGGCGTCGAAAAGCTGGTGTTTCGAACTCAGAGATGGGGTGGTTGTTCGCGACGAGCCAGTCTACTGCGGCAAACCTAAAGCGCTGCTTGCTAAACCCGTTAATCTGATTAGCTACTGCCTGTGAGATAGGGACTCTCGCAGTGGTGAGCGCGTTGTAAACACTAGCAACTGGAGTCTTGCCTGGTGCTACTAGCCTATGGCCAGGTTTCTGCTCGCTGAGGTGGCGCGCGGCTGACGAGACTGCTGCGCTTGTATTGTATATCCCAATACCAATATCCGTGAGCTTGTGCTTGAAACACCAGTGGCAGATGAAGAATACGCGGGTTGGATCTTTGAGAAGAGCGACGCGATAGCCGTGGCGATGGATCCAACTCCGCTTGTGTTGGTGCGTCGTGATAGGCTTCGTATACAGCTTAAGGCGACCCCAATCTATGCCATCATAATTGTCTTCGAGATGGGCGTCAAAAGCCTCATCTACAGCGTCGTCGGCGGCTTCAGAAGACGGAGCGAGCGTAGCTTGCTCACTGCCCTCGGCGGGCGCGACGATAGCGTCTTCGGGCTGCGACTCGCGCAATCGCGACTCGAAAGTATGTGTATATGGAGGCGGCGGAGATAGAGCAGATGGCTGAGATTGATATGACTGCGAGTCGATCGCGACGGGCTGGCTCGCAGTGCCGCGCGCGCGCTTTCTAGGCGAGGGAGCGCTATCAGAGACGCGTTTTTTGGGCGGCATGAGGGCGACGATGAGGTGAGGTATACGGCGATAGATCTGCAACACCAAAAGTATATAGTATTGTGGGTGATGGAGATGGAGATGGAGTATACTATATGAGACGACGCGCTGGCTGCTAGTTACACGGAGCTATCGGAT